AAAAGAAAATGATAAAAACTTGAAAAATTGACATCCTTCGAGATGTAGTTATGTTACTACATCTAGTAGTTAGGAAAATTAAAAAACTTAAATTTGGACATGTCTTGCAAAAAGTGTTATGAAAAAGTAAAACTGCCATATCTTTTGCATACCATGTCGAAAAAATGCATAATATATCAAAAAAATCAGCACGAAAATCCGCATCGAATTTGATGGCCGTAGGCTTATTTGCAAATTTTTAGAATTCTCAAATTCTAAGAGGAAAAAAGATATGCTCAAATTTCAGTTTTTTTGAATTTTTGTCAAACTGTGGTCAAACTAATTATTCAAGAAATATTAGTGTTACTAAATAATTATTCAAGAATATTAGTATTACTAAATAATTATTTCAGTTTTTTTTCTAAATTTTGGTCAAATCTGGTCAAACTATGGTCAAACTACTTATTCAAGAAATATTAATGTTACTAAATAATTATTGGTTTTAAGAATAATAGTTTCAAACTCAAACAGTGTAACGTGTGACTTCATGCTCAACTTCAACTCCTAACGGTTAAGAGCATCTCCAGCCGTTGCCCCTCCCCCAGGACGCATAAAAATCGCTCCCTGGGGGCGAGCCGGGGATTTGTTCGGCGCTGGGACGGTTTTGCGCCTAGTCGTCGCCCCCAGTCGCCGATTTTGGCCCACTTTTGCAGCCCCATTTCGGCGAAAAAGGTCCATATGGGCGAGAATAGGCCCATATTCGGCGTGGTCGCCGTGGCTCGGCATTCAATTATCAACATAAATATTTTTTATCACATATTTCATCACAGAAAATTCAAATACTTCAACAAAATAGTACAACAACAAATAGTTCAATACAAATTATATAGTTCAATAAATAAAAACTCATATTTCATCACACGTCGCGCCCGGTGTCGCCCTTGAGCCTCCATAGGTGCTCTATCAGATCTTGCTGCAGTTGATGATGCACCTGTGGGTCTCGGATCTCCTGACGCATACTGAGGTAGGCAGTCCACGTTGCCGGTAGCTGGTGATCAACTTGGGCAAGAGGACCCTGCCTGTGGTATGGTTCAGTGTCAAACACTGGCTCTTCCTGCTCGCTCTCAATGATCATGTTGTGTAAGATGACACGGGAGGTCATGATCTCCCACATTTGATCTTTTGACCAGGTCTGAGCGGGGTACCGGACAACAGCAAATCGAGATTGGAGTACACCAAATGCCCGCTCGACATCCTTCCTGCAAGCCTCCTGAATCTTCGCAAAGCAGGCGTTCTTGCCTCCAGGCACAGGGTTTTTGATGGTCTTCACAAATGTCGACCATCTCGGATAGATGCCATCAGCTAGATAGTACCCCTTGTTGTAGTGCCGCCCATTGATCTCGAAGTTCACCGGAGGAGAATGACCTTCAACAAGCTTGGCAAAGACAGGAGAGCACTGCAGCACGTTGATGTCATTGTGAGTTCCTGGCATACCAAAGAAGGAGTGCCAAATCCAGAGGTCCTGTGTGGCCACCGCCTCAAGTACCACACTGCAACCACCTTTGGCGCCTTTGTACATCCCCTGCCAAGCAAATGGGCAATTCTTCCATTTCCAATGCGTGCAGTCGATGCTTTCAAGCATCCCAGGAAATTCTCTTGCTGCATTCTATGCTAGGATCCGAGCAGTGTATTCCGCATTGGGTGTTCTCAAGTATTGCTGTCCAAACACTGCCACCACTGCCCGACAGAACTTGTAGAAACACTCTATGCTGGTGGACTCGGCCATGCGCCCATAGTCGTCCTGTGAATCACCGGGAGCTCCGTATATGCAAGCATCCTCATCGTTGTTGTGCATTTCTGTATCGAGGTGAATCCAAGTTTGCCGGTGCAATCCATCTTGCATTTGAAGTAGTTGTCGAACTCCCGGATGAAATTCACGATCCTGAGAAAAAGCTTCTGCTCATCCGATAACGGCGCCAAAATGTTCTGTCGCCGTGAAGTGGAGCATCGGCGAAGTACTCGGAGTAGATCATGTAGTAGCCTTCAAGATGATGCCGGTTCTTTGCTTTCACCTGCCCCGGCGCCGAGCCACCTCGCCGTGGCTTTTCATTGCTCGCCAGCAGCTGGGTGAGGGCGGCGAGCACCATGAGATGCTCTTCTTTCTGGACGTCGGCCTCGGCTTCCTCCTCCAGCAGCGCGGCGAGCGCTTCCTCGTCATCCGAATCCATCGCCGAGGCAGGCAATTCGCCGAACACCTTGCGCCTGGTGGGCGTGCACCCGCCGTTAAACTGCCCTTCCGCGGCCGGAAACGCCCAACTGCTATCGGAGGGGCTGCCGCGGCGAACCTCTGCTACCTCTGCTATTTTTCCCGGTGGGGAATGGCTATCTAGCGGCGAAAGGCGGCGGGGGCGCCGGGATATAGCTAGTGGCGGCCGAGAGCGCGGGGGGTGGGAGGCGAGTCGGGGAAGAAAATGTTGACTTTTCACCTGACGGCGTGGGCCAGCCGCGCTTTTCCCTTGCGCCGGAGCCCCCAAGCGCCCCCCAGCGCGCTGGGTTCGGCCTGCGGCCGCCGGGCGGAAAAAAGGGCCGAACCGGCGCTTTCCGTCGTCCTGGGGACGCGACTGGGGCGTTCTTTTGGCGCCGGCGCCGAAAAAGTCGCCTGGGGGGGCCTGTTGGGGGCGCGGCTGGAGATGCTCTAATAGGATTGACAGCTTAGTATTGTCAGGAAAACAACGATTGCAGACTTGGAAACAAGGGGGAATAGAACTCGAAAGTTAAGCGTGCTCAGGCTGTAGTAGTGAGAGGATGGGTGACCGACCGGGAAGTTAGACGATCTGGCATGAAGAGGGGTCAAAAAATAATCAAAAAGACTAAAGGTCGAGCTCCAGACAGCGGCCACGTGGATGCCTTTAGTCCCAGTTCGTAACACAACCGGGACTAAAGGTGGAGGGGCCTTTAGTACCGACCCTTTAGTCCCGGTTCCGGAACCGGGACAAATGAGCCTTTTTCTACTAGTGTTTCTTCCTTTTTTTCCCTAGGAATTCCACATATATGCCAATGTGGCTGCTTGCTTGGAATGTTCTGGGTGGAATCTGGATTAGCTTCATGACTACCAACAAAACTAAAGGTGGTTACTTAACCACAAAAATAATATCTTTGGTGGGTGTGTGGTTGTGTGACGGCACAGGGTCCCCAAATTTTCAGCGGCCTCAAATTTCCGAGCAATGCGACTCAAAAAAAGAAAGAATTCAAAGCACTGCACCCACAGCCCATGCTCATTACTTAGGGCTGGTCCGCGCATGTCAAGATGCCTCACATGGATCAAGTCTCTTAAAAAGGGCGAACCAACATGTGGTTTTATAATTAGAAGGATAGTGGTATCCCTAGCCCACCAGGCTTAAGACCTAAACTTGACATTGGTGCTTGCATTTTTTTAGATTTGTTTCAGTCCTTCCGTCGATGTGCTTCAGTGAGAGGAGACGTTCCTGTCGACTATGAAGGCGTCTATGGCGACTCCGGCAATATCAAGATGATGTGCGTCTGTATAGTGTTAAAAAAATAACAAATCCTCCAGCTCCCGAGGATCGATGCGTCACTTCAACTTCCTTCAATCTACTTCGCGCGACGGTGATCGCCGACCTGGATTGATCCCTTGCCGAAGACGCAAGGCCTGAGATGGCACGATCAACCACGCTAGCAGGGCCCGGGAGGTGGAACCGGGGATGATGACTCGATGGACAAGTCCTATAGCCATGAAGCTCGGCTGACAGATCGTCTTCCGCGGGCGCGCAATCTGCTAGCTCGTCCATCTCTCAAGGACCTGCATTCCCGTGAGTGTCAGTTCCGCAGTCCTAATAGCAGTGCAGATTGTTTGTCGTTTTTTTTTTTCATCTTTTATCTAGAGTTAAATGTTTCAAGATCAAGCCATGTCTTCCACAAATTGATCTAGAAAATTAATATAGGTCCAGTTTTCAGAGAAATAGACCCGTTTTACAGTTAGGCACAAGGCCTCCGATTTTGTTGGCCTGGCTATGCTTTCATCCAGCCTTCCTTCCCGTGAGTGTCAATTCGGCAGTCCTAGTAGCACTGTAGATTGTTTGTCATTTTTGTTTCATCTTCTATCTAGAGTTTAATGTTCCAAGATCAAGCCATATCTTCTACAAATCGATCTAGAAAATTAAAATAGGTCAACTTTTCAGAGAGATAGGCCCGTTTTATAGTTGGCACAAGGCCTCGGATTTTGTTTGCCTGGCTCTGCTTTCGTCCAGCTAGGCCGATTGCAACGGGCAGAAAGATAGTGGTCTCCTCTAGCTGAGAATTTATATAACAAACAATAATTCTATGGTGACAGCGTCGCCTTTGTCAGTGAAATCGATGGTCAGTCTTCTGGTAGTACAATAATTCTAAGACCTCACCATCGAGCTGTGTCACGTTCGTCTCTGGTCTCACTCACTGTCCACCTAATTAATCTTATCCCTGCTGTCGCCCGCAAAAAAAAATTCCCAGCTGTATGTAAGGTCTAGACATTCAGAGTGTTACCCTTCATTTTCTTATTTTTCCTACTTGCTTGATTTTTTTTTCCATACCACGGACGACTGCTTGCTTGATGGTTAGTGTTCTGATGGAATCTGGACTAGCTTCATGGCTAGCAACAAAAGTAGCTACCTAGCCTCAGAAAATAATATCTTCGATCGATCCAGGCTGGTTGCTACAGGGATGAAGATTGTGTGGCACTCTTCTGGGTGATAATTCCTTGGCTGGGCAATACAACAATAGTGGAACAGTGACAGCATCGACCTAGCTATCTAGGGACCAGGTCAGTCTTCCGGTACAATAATTCTAAGACCCCATCAACTCCTTGTGGTTTCATTGGATGGGCACCATGCCAGAAGCACGAGTACCATCCGGCTATAAAAGGATCCACGAGGGACTCTTCCCAACCACTTGCACCTAAACCAGCACCACTTCCCAGCACACAAACCACCAATTAACCCTGCCTACCGGCGCTGGCGCTTGAGGAGATGGAGGCGGCGATTGGCATGGCAAGCGGGCTCATTGGCAGCCTGGTGAATCTGCTAGCCAATGAGGCTGTGGGGGCGTACGTTGCCAGCACTGAGCTTGGCCTCAACTCCACACAGATCAAAGATGATCTGCTGCGCACCCAAGTTCTGTTGTGCGAAGCCGACAGAAGGGCCATGAGCAACAATGCCGGTCTGGAGGGACTGTTGCGGAGGCTCAGTGCCAAGGTCGATGAGGCCGAGGATGCCCTGGACGAGCTCCACTACTTCATGATCCAAGAAAAGCTCGACAACACCAATTACACACTGCCGGATCTGGGTGATGACCTTCGGGGTCATGCTCGCCATGGTCGCCATGCTCTTCGCCACATCGTCGGTAACTGCCTTACATGTTTCTCCTGCTCTTGTTCGACGAAATATGATGATGGTCGTGTTCCTGTTATTGTTACAAATAACCCACACAATGCAACGGAGCAGCCTGATAGTGGTGGTAATGGTGATCGTCCGGTTGATAAGTTGTTATTCGATAGAGTGGCCATGTCTAGGAAAATTAAGTCAGTGATAGAGGAACTACATTCGTTGTGTGACTCTGTCACTGAGTCACTCAAAATAGTTCCGCATCATAGCAGTAACACTGCCATAAAACGACCTATCATTGGATCAACCAGTGCACAGAGTATATTGTATGGGAGGACAGAGCTTTTTGAGCAAACAGTAAAAGATATCATTACCTGTGACACAAATAGCAGTGAAACATTGTCTGTTCTTCCTATAGTTGGCCCAGGTGGTATTGGAAAGACAACTTTCACTCAACACCTATACAATGATAAAAGGATACAAGAACACTTTGATGTTAAGGTTTGGGTATGTGTATCTGATTTTGATGTGCTTAGGATCACCAAACATATCCATGACCACATACGTGAAAGTGAAAAACAAGAAGGCAGCACTTCCCATCAAACAACCAATACCAGTTTAGACCTGCTTCAAATATATATTGGGCATAAACTAAAGTCCAAAAGGTTTTTAATTGCCTTTGATGATCTGTGGGAATGCAATAGCGAGGATTGGGGAAACCTGTTAGCTCCATTGATGAAGGGGGAGGCCAAGGGAAACATGATTCTCCTCACAACACGATCCCCGTCTAAAGCTGATACTGTGAAAACAACCGATGCAATAGCACTGAAAGGCCTTCACCCTGAAGATTTCTTCACATTCTTTGAGGAACTAATATTTGCGGGAAACAAACCCGAGTATTACCAAGAGGACTTGGCTAATCTTGCAAGAGATATTGCAAACAAATTGAAGGGTTCACCTCTAGCAGCTAAAACAGTTAGTCGGATACTGAAAAGGGATCCATCTCGGGAACATTGGACTGGAGTTCTTAAAAACAATAAATGGCAAAAACAAGAAAATTCTGATGACATTATGCCATCTCTAAGAATTAGCTATGATTATCTTCCTTTCCATTTGAAAAAATGTTTCCCATATTTTGCCCTGTTCCCCGAAGATTATAGGTTTAATAATCTAGAGATTACATACTTTTGGATTGCAATAGGAATCATTGAAAAAGATGAGAATTACATGGAACAACTTGTGGACAATGGTTTTCTCGTGAAGGAGAATTATGTACTACATGATTTATTACACGAACTATCACGGAGTGTCTCGTCACAAGAGTGCCTCAATATAAATAGTGGTGAAAGTTTTAGAGCTGATGCCGTCCCCAAATCTATTCGTCTTTTTTCCATCACCATGGAAGAAAAATATGATGTGACTTTTAGGGGAGAAATGATTAAACTGAGGAGCAAGGTAGACATTGTAAATTTACGGGCTTTGATGGTTTTTCGAGAATATAGTGAAACTATTAATGAGATTTTGGAAGATACTTTCATGGAAATACAAGGTCTCCGTGTCCTATTTATGAAAGTCAAGTCCCTGAAATATTTCCCACCCAACCTTTCAAAGCTTATCCACCTCCGATACCTAAAAGTTTCTGGACACACAACTGACTCAGAGCTAACTTTGCCTAGCACACTCCCTAGATTTTATCACTTGAAACTATTGGACCTAAGTAGTTGGTATGGTAGGGATAAATTGCCTAAAGACATTAGCCGCCTTATCAACTTACACTATTTAGTTGCTAGAATTAAATTCCATTCTCAATCTGTTGAACTCCATTCCGATATTCCTGAGGTTGGAAAGATGAAGTGTCTAAAGGAGCTTACAAAATTTTGTGTCAAGAAAGAGATTGTTGGATTTGAGTTGAGTGAGTTGGGGGAGTTAACTGAGCTCGGAGGAGAACTCAGTATATATAACCTTAAAATGGTGGCAACCAAAGAAGAGGCTATGGAAGCCAAACTGATGTTGAAAGCTGATTTGAAAAAGTTGGAGTTACTTTGGGGCACAGAACACGATCAGGGAGAATCTGATGTCCTTGGTGATAGTACAGAATTATCTGATGTTATTGATGGTCTTGAACCACATCCTAATCTTCAATCACTTGTTATTAAAAATCACGGTGGCTCAACCTGTCCTAGTTGGTTGTGTGGTTCCATTGGCCTACTAATGCTGACGTCCCTCTGCCTAGAGGATGTTTCTTGGACCATTCTTCCACTTGGGCGTCTGCTACATTTGTCGTCACTCACGTTGAGGAATATTCCTAGACTTGGTCAGATCATATCTGGCTCTTCTGACATTACAGACAGGAGTTGTTCGCGGTTGAAGGAGATTATCCTCTTTCGGCTGCCAGAATTTACTGAGTGGGTGGTGACGCCTAATGCCCGTTGGTTTCCAAGGCTTGAACTTGTCCATTGCTATGGATGCCCCAACCTCCGTTCGTTTCCCTTCCTGGAAGAGGGCTCTGGTTCTTATACGAGCCTATCGACACTCCGTATTTTCAAATGCCCCAAGTTGCTCCTGCCCCCCATGCCGGCAACTCATATTGATGTGCCTGCTGGTCCTTCACGGAGTATGGAGTATGATGAACATGACTTGCCTTTGACGGGGCATAGCGGTGCTGCATCAAAGTTCACATGGGCGCAACTCCCAAAGCTAACCTCTCTGAGGGAGCTTCGTATTGAAGGAGACTCAAGCTTTGTATCTATGGATCTGCTCTCAAACCATACATCTTTGACCTGTCTACAACTAGTAGATTGCGAGAATTTAGAAGTAGATGGGTTCAATCCTCTCATCGCAGCTGTCAACCTCAAGGAATTTGCGGTTCACAACAGGGGAGGAGATCGTTCTCGCTCTGTAGCGGCGGATCTTCTCTCAGAAATGGTGGTGGCAAGTAGGACTGACATACTGTTGCCTTCTGCGGGCTGCTTCCGACTGGAAACACTTGGCGTGGATAGCATCTCAGCAATGCTTTCTGCTCCCGTATGCAGCCTCTTCGCCACCACCCTCCACACATTAATCTTCGAATTGGATCAGCGGGTGGAAAGCTTCACGGAAGAGGAAGAGAATGCACTTCAGCTCCTCACCTCCCTCCAACACATGTATTTTTGGTTTTGCCAAGGTCTGCCGTCCCTCCCTGGAGGGTTACACAAACTTTCTTCTCTCTGGGGCCTACATGTGGGTTATTGTCCTAAGGTCCGATCGCTGCCCAAGGAGGGGCTCCCCGCTTCTCTGCGACTTCTAATAGTAGAAGGGTGCACTCGCGAGCTATGTGAGCAAGCCAAGGAATTTGAAGTAAGAAACCCATATTTACGGATAGACGCCTATAAATGCATAGATTGAATTTTAAATCCAAGGTAACAAGCTGAGTCTTCGCGCTTGCCATTTCCGTTCGTCTTCTCGTTTTCTATAGTGCTGATCTGTGAGTTCTGACTTCTGACAGGCCAGCCCCATGTAACTTGTGAATATCCTTTCAGCCATATCGTCTATGAGCTATATGTCTGCATCTGGAATATCATACTCTACTTTACAATATGAAGACCAAGGTGGCAACCGGCCGGTGGACCTGGAGGTGAATATCTGTTTTCTCTTGTCTATATGTACTCTTTTTAGAGTAAATTGCACAAAACCACCACTTTGAAGGCTAGGTTTGCAGAAAACACTACGCTACACTTTTCTTGCAAAAAACACCACGTCTTCTATAATCGTTTAGCAAAAACCACTGATCGGCGGCTTTGTCTCGGTTAAGCGCACTTAGACAGACGGGGCCCGCCAGTCAGGCTGACGTGGCACCGCTCAACACCTCGCAGCTAACGACGACGGTAGGTAATGTGTCATCATGTGTGGAGCCATGTGGGGTCCACCTGTCATTGAAAGAAAAAGGAAAAAAAAGCTTCATCTTCACCACCGGATCCCGACCAGGGCAGATGCTCGCCGCCCGTCCCGCCCCCGGCTGGGGCACAGGCCGCTGTACCCGTTGCCGTGCGAAGCTTGCCCCGACCCGGCCGAGGCAGAGGCCGCCGTCGTCGTGGCCGCCTGAAGGTCGAGCCAGCCAGTTGACAAAGCGGGACGAGCCCGCCTTCCCTCTACTCCTTCAGCTCTCCCCTAGATCCCAAATGGTCGCGCCCGCCGCCTTAGATCCTCCCCAGGCAGCCCTTCCCCACTCTCCGCTTGATCGATCCAACCGAATCACTGCTTTTGGTCGCTCAATCGATCATGGACGCCATGGGGGAGCTTGCTGCGGGAAGCGGGATGCACCACCACAAGTGCAAGGTGTGTGGGAAAGGGCTTCTTGTGCGGCCGCTCGCTCGGCGGGCACATGCGCTCCCACATCTCGCTTGGAGAGGCGCTGCCGGAGGCCCACGACCAGATGGAGGTGGCCGCCGGTGGCTGTGATGGCCGCGCCGCCCAGGCGGAGGTGCAGTTCGATGTGCGTGGTCGCGCCGGCCCCCGCGCCGCGACCGCCGATGTTGAGCGCATTCCATGAGGAGCAAGAGGACGCCGCGCTCTGCCTCCTGATGCTCTTGAGGACACCACCGGCGGCATGCGGAGCTTGATAGCGTCGAAGCAGGTGCACCTCCCAACTAAAGATAAGGCAAGGCAAGCAAAAAAAAAAGCCAGACATTTTTTTGTCTTTTTTCTTTCAATGACAGGTGGCCCCACATGGCTCCACACATGCTCACAACGTTACCAACTGTCGCCGTTACCTAGGAGGTGTTAAGCGGTGCCACGTCAGCCTGACTGGCGGGCCCCATCTGTCATAAGTGCGCTTAACCGAGACAAAACCGCCGATCAGTGGTTTTTGTAAAACGATTACAGAAGACGAGGTGTTTTTTGTAACAAAAGTGTAGCGTAGTGTTTTCTGCAAACCTAGCCTTCAAAGTGGTGGTTTTGTGCAATTTACTCACTCTTTTTATAAAATCTCATCAACTGAAAATCTGTATAGGCTGAAGCATGCAATCCGATTGCAATGGAGATTGGAACCGGGCATATGCTCGATTGAATATTCCTAGGAAAATGAAACTCCTACTTATTCTGCTAAGTGTTGGTACATGCATCATCTTGTATGGAAGAACCTCTATGTTAGTGCTTTTTCATCTTTTCAAAATTCTGAACTTTGTTGCTTAAAAGTAATGTCTTCTTTTCTTTCTATGCTCTTCCTCCTCTCAGTCTCAGGAAAATCCAGAGATGTTCCTATCTAGATACTGTTAGTTCAGAAGTTTTCTTTCACAAGTTGGCGACGGGATATTCGGGTAGTTAAGCTACTGCTTAATTGCTTATAGACTTCTATTTTATCTGTTCCATAATCCTTGTTCTCATAAACAGTTGACACCATTCACCGTCAAGCTAGTTTTAGGACAACGATCTGAAGCTTCAATGCCACGCACCTCAAGCACCTAATTAATATGTCGCAGAGAAGCTACCTTAGCAGAAGGCACATTTCATTTACAAAATTATGTAAGTTCAGTTCATCTTACTGCTTTATAATAATATTTGCATTTTGTACAAAAAAGTGGGTCACACTGAATTGTTCTTGTATAAGACTCAAGTACTCCCTCTGTCCCAAAATTTTTGTCTTAGATTTGTTTAGATACGGATGTACCTACTTTTGTACCGTTTGTAAGCTTGAGTTACATGTTGTTGCCCTAGTAATCCCCTCCGCCTGCCACTACATTGCCGCATCTTCCACGGCTCATGTTCGTTCCCGTCCACATGACTTGATACGTCCGTATTTAGACAAATCTAGGACAAGAATTTTGGGACAAAGGAGTACATGCCAAGTGTAGAGAATGTGTTTCGTTGGCAGGCAGCAATTTATGAATCCATTAGCTCCATGCTACGCCATAGTACATTTCAAATATTAAACAGTGAGATACCATGTAAGAATATTTCTATAAGTATATAATGTAACTATAAAAAATATAATGCAATTGTAATATTTTATTCTAATTTGGATTATGATAAATGTTTCAGGTATGGATCAGAAAAGCGCTGTGCGTTAATGGTTTGCTTGGAGTATTGCCCAATTCTTTTGCACACACATTGTCTGGCTTACTAATGATTCGTCAGCTTTTGAATCACGAAATTGACATTTTGGTTGGAAGAGCAATTTATCCTCGGGTAAGTTCATGTCTAAGCAGTTTTAGATGGCAAGGGTGCTGCTCCATTCTTCTTGGTTTGAAGTAAGAATGTTGGTTTGAAGTAAGAATGTATGCTTAGCCCTTTTTTTTTTTGAAAATCTGAACATCACATTTTGTGCAACATTGGAGCAGGTTGATTTGGTGTTCATGAACTTCATGGTAACCACTGACTGCCAACTACAACTTGTCCAGATTTTAGAGATTACATATATTGTGATGCTTTAGTGCTTTACTGGCAACCTTGATCCGTCAGAGTTTCAGTTCGAGTATAGCAGGTTCACAACTGATGAGTAATGAGCGACTCAAAGTAATGAATTGAGCATTTATATTATGCCAGTTCGCTTTACCTTGTTCAGTCAATTGCCTGAACTTAGATTGAACACTTGGATTCTGCAGAACAGTGAATTCAGAAGTTGGTTGTTCGTCGGGACAACAAAAAGTAACCAGTGAGCCTCTGTCTTCATACCTCTGACGGAGTGCTGCGTAGTTCTGCATATAAATAGACCCTATTGAAGGTACTGATTACATTACATGTGGTACGTGTTGCACGATCGGTGGTTCAGGTTTTCGGTACTGATTTGTTTCATGTATGTATGCGGTGGCATGCATCATGGTGCAGGTGTGTACGTGTCAGCTTGGCTCCTTCATGACAACGAACCTGAGGTCCTCAACCTGATGAAGTCATGAAGAGGAAGCTACTGCAGTACGATTCCTGACTAGAAAGCATTGCAGCAGCTCCCGCCTCCTGCCCGGCCTCTCCACACCGCTAGTATTTCTCCAGGCTCCGCGGCCGCATCCTCCACTCGTTTCTCCACTGCATCTGCTCTGCCCACATTTGGCACTCGGCGGGCCTCTTCTAAGCGCTATAGCGTCCTATAGCGCTATTTAAAATGTATGTTCATGTGTTTGAATGAAAGTCCCTTAGCGCAAGACCTCTTCTAAATGCTATAGCGAAGCTATAGCGGGCTATTTGAAACCATGGCGCTGACGCCAGAAGATCGTTGTTGGGCAAGGCCCGCGGCCAGCTGTGAATATTGAGTATCCTGAGAAATGTCTCCTTTGGATAGATTGTCCATTTTTGGAAGGAATTCATCCCCTTTCCGCTCTTTATTTTCTTTTGCCTTCTTAATTAAATTTCCAGCTTTCCGCTGCCTTTGCCTTCGACCCATATCAGAGTGCGTGCTGCAACACTCGCACTTCTTTTTTGGAGCAGTTGCAACACTGGCACTGGAACACAGGAAAAAGACAATGAACGAGTAGGTTCCGGGCTGGGCCTGGCCATACACAAGAATGAAGAATCCCAGTGGGGCTGTGCGCCTGTGCCGTGGGCTGGGCCATATCGGTACCTTCACAAAAAAATTTCCTTCCAGGCCCACTGGCTCTCCCCTCCCATTTTGGTTTGCGGCACATCTAAAAACAAAAATTGGTTTGCGGCGGTCGGTAGCCACCCCTCCCACCCCGGCGACGGCGATGGCGATCTCCACGCCGTCGTTGGCAACAGGCTCACTCACCGCCAGCTGTTTCCCCCCTCGGTAACTCGCCTGCGTCTCATCCCCTGCCCTGCTTCCTCTGTAACTTTGCATTTTTGTGTTCCTTGTTGAGACAGGCCTTTCAATAAAGAGTTAAAGACTACTTTGAATACAATTTCACAAGTTTTAAAAGTTTCAGCTAAACATATTTATACAGATTAGTTAAAGATGGCATCTTGTTTGTTGCCAATGAATCTCACCGGAATCTTCACTTTGTTTGACCAAACGATTGATGCCCTTTTGTCTCAAGGGATGGTAATACAAGTTTCTTGCCAACGATGCCGGAGTGGTTCCCCAGTCACCGTTCAGACGAGTTTAATAGTGTGGCCTCTCGGGTTGTTAAGTATACTGTCGCAATCAACTATCACAATAATGGACCAGTTCTTGGAGTTTAGAAAACTTGTCCATGACGAGGCACCATGACCATGTCATATCGAGACACAAAACATTCAGTTTTTCTTTAGCAACTACAATTGCAGAGTGGATGGGTTCAATCTCTTTAGCTACATGTCAGCCAATTTTTTCTCCCCATTATCCTGCAGTGGACAGCAAAAAATACGGTAGAATTGATGGACTTGGCTACTCAAATCCTTTTCTTTATGTCCAAGTCATGATCAACTAGTCCTTGTCGTCACAAGTCACAACCACGTACCTCACATGGCTTTCTCCAGCCTCATTGCAACTGATTGGTTCATTCAGGTTCACATCTACATTTTTCAGAAAGAAAGCATCATGCATCTTCCCGGAAGCCTCCCTGAGTGCACGTTATGAGGTCAATGACCAAGTATAAGCCTGGACAGACAGAGCCTAGCTACAGCGAGCTAGCTTGGTCAATACAAACCTGCCACCAACACTATAAAAGGAGCCACCAATGCCTTCTAAGTATGCCCACATAGCTGCTACCTGTCAACCCACGAAACTCTACCTCACAGGTCACAAACCACTTGCCTTGCTTAGCGCCCGGCGGAGATGGGGACGGCGGCAGCAGGCTGGCTCATCGGCAAGGTGCTGAATATGCTGTCCGATGACTTGGTGGCCGCATACGTGGACAGCAAACAGCTCGGGCTCAACTCCGAGAAGATCAAAGGTGATCTCATGCGTACACGTGGACTTTTGCAAGCCGCCCAGGCGAGGGGCATGGGCGACAATGATGGTCTGCGTGAGCTGCTGCAGGCGCTCAACGCCAAATCCCATGAAGCTGAGGACGCACTGGATGAGCTCCACTACTTCGTCGTCCAGGACCAGCTTGACGGCACCCGGTACGCGGTGCCAGATCTTGGTGATGGCCTATCCGGTCTTCTTCAACATGGTTGTCATGCCGTTCGCCACACCATTGGTAATTGTCTTGCATATTTTTCTTGTTCGTGTGTGCATGATGGTGCTGGTGCTGCCGCTGCCGATAATCCATCCAGTTCAACCAACCCTGGCAACGGCAATGATGCTCCATTTGAGAGGCTGACATTTGACAGAGTTGCCATGTCCAAGAAAATTAAGTCAGTGATACAAGAAATGCACTCTCTATGTGCGTCTATCGCTGAGTTGCTCCACATAGATCCAGACCATATCAACACTCCAAATGTCACCCTAAAACGCCCTATTACAAGTTCAGTCATTGCACAAGTTACACTGTATGGTAGGACAGCTATTTTTGAGAAAACTAGAAAGGATATTATTGGTGGCACATATCAGAATAAAACCCTTTCCGTTCTTCCTATAGTTGGTCCAGGGGGTATTGGAAAGACAACCTTCACCCAACATCTATATAAGGATAAAAGCATAGAAGAGCATTTTGATGTTCGGGTTTGGGTAAGTGTACCAACTGATTTTGATCTGCTTAAGGTCAGCCAACAAATCCTTAGCTGTATAGAAGGAAGCAACACAGAAAATCAAACAACAAGTTTAGACCAGCTCCAAAAATCCATCGCACAAAGGCTTCAGTCTAAACGGTTTCTAATTGTCTTTGATGATATGTGGAAATGCAACATCCATGATTGGGATAACTTGTTAGCTCCATTCAAGGAGGAGGTATTATCCATGGGCAACATGGTTCTTGTCACAACTCGAATCCCAACTATAGCTAATATTGTGAAAACAACACATGCAGTAGCACTAAAAGGACTTGAGCCTGCTGAATTATTCAGATTATTTGAAGAAATAATTTATTTTGGAACAAAGCCTGAGGATTATCGAGATGACTTAACTCACATTGCAAGAAAAATTTCAGAGAAGTTAAAGGGTTCACCTCTAGCAGCCAAGACAGTTGGTCGATTATTGAAGAGGGACATTTCTCTGGAGCATTGGGTGGGAGTTCTTGAACACAATGAGTGGCAAAAAGAGCAAAATGAGCATGACATTATGCCATCTCTAAGGATTAGTTATCATAACCTTCCTTTGCATCTGAAAAGATGTTTCTCATATTTTGCATTGTTCCCTGAAGATTATAATTTCAAGAACTTAGAAATCACATACTTTTGGATTTCCATAGGAGTCATAAACAAAGAGGATAAATATGTGGATGAATTTGTGGACAATGGGTTTCTCGTGACGGACAATGATGGTTCTGAGGATCATTACTATGTATTGCATGATTTATTGCATGAACTATCTCGGAGTATTTCATCACAAGAATGTCTCAATATATATAGTAGTGAAAGTTTTAGATCTGATGTCATTCCACGATCTATTCGCTACATATCCATCACCATGGGAAATAGTTGCGATGCAATTTTTAGGAGAGAAATGTTTGAATTGAAGAGCAAGATAGATATTGTAAATTTACGGGCTTTGATGATCTTTGGAAAATACGGAACGGTCATTCATGAGACTTTGGAGGATACTTTCAAGGAAGTTGGGAGACTCCGTGTCCTATTTATAGAATTTAATTCCCTAGAAACCTGGCCGCACAACTTTTCAAAACTTATCCACCTCCGATGCCTCAAAATTAGTACATCATTATTCAGCTCACAAGTGACTTTGCCCATTACACTATGCGGGTTTTATCACTTAAAATTATTGGACTTAATAGGTTGGCATGGCAGTGTTAAATTGCCTAAAGACTTTAGCCGCCTAATAAGTTTACGACATTTATTTGCTAAAAATGAACTCCATTCCAATGTTACTATGGTTGGAAAGATGAAGTATTTAAAAGAGCTTAAACAATTCTATGTCAAGAAAGAGAGTGTTGGATTTGAATTGAGTGAGCTGGGGAAATTAACAGAGCTTGGAGGTGAACTCAATATATATAATCTTGAAAAGGGGGCAACTAAGGAAGAGGCTATTGAAGCCAAAATGGTTTTGAAAAGGGATTTCCCTTCTCCAATACGCTGACGACACCATTGTTATGGTCGAGGGATCCGCCCTTGAGATTTCCAACCTGAAGTTCCTCCTTCTGTGCTTCCAGCAAATGTCGGGCCTTACCATCAACTTCGACAAGAGCGAAGTGATGGTGCTCGGTTACCCCGCTGAGGAAGCTCAGTCCATTGCCGATCAGCTTAACTGTCGGCTGGGTTCTTTCCCCACGACTTATCTGGGGATCCCCATTAGTGACTCGCGCCTCACCGTGGCGGACCTCCGCCCCACGGTGACCCGTATGCAGCATCGCGTGGAGCCCTGGAAAGGGCGTTGGCTGTCGAAGGCGGCCCGCGTGATTCTTATCAACTCCTCGCTGGCCAGCCTCCTGTGGTTCCTCATGAGCTTCTACGGCCTTCATGAGACGCTCCATCAGGAGATCGCCAAATACCAGTCCAGATTCTTCTGGGCAGGGGAGGAGGGCAAGCAGAAATATCACATGGTCAGCTGGCCAGATATTTGCAAACCCAAAGACCAGGGCGGTCTTGGGATCCTGTCCTCTCGGCGCATGAACATCGCCCTCCTGACCCGCTGGCTACGGCGCATTGCCAATGGCGAGGGAGGCCTCTGGCTTACTATCATCCAGAACAAATACCTACGTGGACAGCCCCTGGTGTTCTGCCAACGCTCGGGTGGTTCCCAGTTTTGGCAGGCTGTCGTCCAGCTGCTACCGGTTCTGCGTATAGGCACTTCCATCTCTGTGGGCTCTGGCGCCTCGACCTTTTTCTGGCTGGATAGATGGCTTGGGGACTCCCCTCTAGCCGCCCGGTTCCCCATCCTCTTCGATATTGTAGTTGACCCTCGGGTCTCTGTCGAGGCGGCCCTTATTGACTTAGGGCGCGTCGCGTTCCGCCGCCCTTTTGGACCTGCCGAGGTGGCTGCCTGGGATGATCTCCTCCAGGACATCGCCCTGCTGCCTATGGACGTGGCAGACGCTCCGGATGCCATCTCCTGGCGCCTAGACCCCTCCGTCCGCTTCTCCACCAAATCCCTCTACGCGGCCATTGCCCCCTCGTCAGCTCCGGAGCCCTTCGGCCTTATCTGGGACATTCGCCTCCCACTTAAGATTCGGATCTTTCTGTGGCAGTGGATCCGCGGCCGCCTCCCGACCGGCGTGGAGGTCCTCAAGCGCCATGGTCCTGGTGATGGAATGTGCCCCTTGTGTGCCACGGTTGAGGATGCTAATCACATCTTCTTCTCGTGCTGCACGGCACAGTTCCTTTGGTCTTGTTTCCGCGAAACGGTTGGCGGAAAGTGGTGCAATACCAACTTCCCTGACTTGCTTGCCGAAATTCAGGCCTCCCCCCTCGCTACAGACATATTAGATGGCTGTGCGTCAGGGTGCTGGCCTGGACCTTGTGGACGGTTCGCAATAGGCTTGTCATTCAGAAGGTGCCCCTTCGACGTGCGACTGACTCCATCTTTAAAATGTGTGGTTACTTGCAGCTCTGGCGGCCGCTTAGCCGCCCCCCGGACCGGGACGCCATCGACAGACTCCTCACCGACCTCCGTTCGTTGGCTTTCCGCCTGGCACCTCCGCTCCCGCCGCCACCCCCGGAGCCCGACTAGTGGATGATTCACTTCTGGCGCGTGTGCCTTTTTGGTTGTGTGTGTTGGGCTTGTTGAGCTGTGCCCTCAGCAATACCCCTTGTTGCTTTCTTGTGCTTGGTCTTTGGGTGCGTGTGGACCTTGTGTTTGTGTGAACTTTGTGGTTGTGGCTTTGGCATTGGCTTTATCTATAAAGCGGGGCGCGAGCCTATTTCGGTAAAAGGGATTTAAAGAAGTTGCACCTAGTATGGAGTACAAACCAACATAACCTGGAGTCTGATGTTCTTGATGGTCTTGAACCACATTGTAATCTGGGAGCACTTGGCATTATAGATCATGGTGGTTCAGTCGGTCCTAGATGGTTGTGTCATGACATTAGGATGGAGATGCTCAAGTCTGTCCACCTAGAGGGTGTATCTTGGGTCGCTCTTCCACTTCTTGGACAGCTACTACATCTCACGTCACTCACGCTGAGTCGCATATCTAGACTTGGTCAGATCAGACCTGGCCTTTGTGGCGTTACGGATAAAAGTTTCATGCAATTGAAGCAGATTATTCTTCATAGTTTGCCAGAATTTATCGAGTGGGTTGGGGTGCCTAACGCCCATTCGTTTTCAAAGCTTGAATACATCCATTGCAGCTCATGTCCCAATCTATGTGTGCTGCCCTTCCTGCAGGAGGGCAATAATGTCTCTTATAACCATCTGGTGAAACTTGAGATTCTGAGTTGCCCAAAGTTGTTCCTGCCGTCCATGCCTCACACTTCAACAATAACTGATGTTGTGGCTGCTGATGCATCTCCAGTCAGCACAGGGATTTCATGGCACAGTGGACATGGTTTGTATTTGACGAGGTATAGTGGTGTATTAGCTTGGCACAATATAACCGACAAACTACAGAGCATCAAATTTGTAAGGGGTCAGAGATCCAATGGGAACAACTCTCAAAGATAAAATGCCTTTGGAATCTTGAGATTATAGACGACCCAAGATTTCTTTCAATAGCCCCGCTCTCAAACCTCACGTCTCTCACCCGGTTAGGGCTGTTAAATTGCGAGAATATAAGAATGGATGGGTTCAACCCTCTCATCACACTCGTCAACCTCAAGGAATTGGAGGTCTATAATAGAGATCACCCTCGATCTGTAGCCGCGGATCTTCTCTCGGATTTGGTGATGGCGAGCAGGGCAAAAAATGTGTTTCCTGCAACAGGCTCCTTCCAATTGGAAAAACTTGAGGTGGACAGCTCCTCAGCAGCGCTAGTTGCTCCAATCTGCGCCCTCCTTGCCGATACCCTCCAGGAGTTAAGTTTCTGGTATGATAAGCGGGTGCAAAGCTTGACGGAAGAGGAAGAGAACGCGCTTCAGCTCCTCACCTCCCTCCAACACCTGTCTTTTGTGGAGTGTCAAGGTTTGCCGTCCCTCCCTCAAAGGTTGCACCACCTCTCTTCTCTCAACAAACTAGAAGTCATTAGGTGTGCTAAAATTCGATCACTGCCCAAGGAGGGCATCCCCAATTCTCTGAAAGAGCTAGTCATAGTGGACTGCGGCCCCGAGCTACGCGATCAAGTCTACACAGTGAAACAAAAATACCCAGATTTGCAGGTGTCATGACCTGGCCAAGGTACGTACTAATCAATTCAAGCTCTTCTCGTCTCATTTCTTCGTTTTTTTCCTGTAACAAATGTGATATATTTACTGTATGTACTCTCTCTATTTCAGATTATTTGAAGTTCTAAAATTGTATTAAGTCAAGCCTTTCAGTTCGAGTTCTTGATAGAATATATTTTTGTAGTACTGAACAAAAAAAATCATACCATATATTTAGTTGATTTTTTTGCATGGGTATTTAGTTGATGTTCTAGGTATTAACACAAAATTAGTTTCATTACTGACTTGTGTGTGACCTAACAGGCTTGCCGGTACAATTGCTCATACTATATATGGAACATATTCATCTATCTAAGCAGTTTTGGAGGATACTATATATATACAGAGCATGCCTTTCAGTTCCTACTTCTTAGCACGCCCTACTACATATTTATGGGCCAACCCAACGTAAGTGGCTGAGCATATTTATATTTTGTGTTCCATATACCTTGTCTGTTTCTGGAACTTAAATTTCATTAAACATTTTTTAGTTGGAACCTTAAATTTCATTACTCTTCCTTTTAGGTGATTTTTTTTCATTACTCCGGTTCTGCAGAATAATTACCACCTCTAGTGGATTTGATATTTAGTACTTTGGTTGTTTCATCCAAACAAGAGCAATTGAAGAACCTGCCTTGGGATTTGTTTATCTTGAAGGAGCTGCATGTGCAGTTACCAACTCTCAGTCAAAGATTTCTAGCCCAAGGTAACAATAAATTATTGCTTTCTCAAGATATTTTTTATTCACAATATGAATATTTTCATTACCCTGGCCTCTGCATCAATGATGCATACAGCCAAATCCTTGTTAAATATCTCGGCCGGATTGATCCCCATATCTTTTAGTACCACTAGCTAACTTGTGAAACCTGACAGGTAGCTGCCTTTGTCGTCACACTTGTGTCAGTACTCTCCTTTCAAGCTGCAACTTGTACGTACAGCTTGTGTTTTATCGGATTAACGACTTGTGAGGAAGAGCATTTTATCCTTGATCTGGTACGTATATGGCGTAGGCAACTCTTTTTTTGCTCCATTCATTTTGGCATAATACAACTATGTTTCCCGAGCCTTTTCTGAATTCTTAAACTGGTTGGTTATTGAGTTCATGGTGCCACCAATTGCCAACTAGTCCCTCCGTTTCTAAATATAAGTCTTTTAAGACATTTCAAATTACAACATACGAATGTATGTAGACATATTTTAAATGTAGATTCACTCATTTTGCTCCGTATGTAGTCATTTGTTGGAAATCTCTAAATAGACTTATATTTGGGAACGGAGGGAGTACATCTTGTGCAGATTTGGAGATTGCATATACATACGATTAGGGTGGTTTTTCACTTTCAACAGTCGGGGTTTCAGTTCCTATATATTTAGCAGTTCCCTGTTGACCAATTCAAAGTAATTAATTGAGCATTTTTTTGCTGTAAATTATTTGAGCATTTTCTTCTGATATATGGAGTGTGATGATTGTGTAACCTTCACGTATGGAAACATTGCAGCCTTTCTTGGAGTATTGACCATTGCAGGCTTCATCAGCCATCTCATAAGTAGGCGTTCTGTGCATTGCTGATTCTTTGGTGTAATGACCATTTCACTTGTGCACGCCTTGTCTGGCCTTCCTAATGATTGGACAGATTGTGTTTTATGAGATTAACAGTTTGGAATATCGATTTTTCTACCACTATATTCTTCTACCTGAGCAGTTGTAGCTGACAAGTGTGATTGCTAGTGTACATGTTGATTGATCCATCAGTGTGATTGCTCCATTCTTCTTGGCATATAATGCAACAAATGTTCCCTTTGCCTTTTATCTCAATATATGTCAGCTTGTGTTTGAATGCTAATTAAAATATGTTTCGTGCCATATTGAAACAGGTTGGTTATTTGTTCATACAGTCCAATTCCATTGTACCCCCGCCCCAACAACCACCTGACTACATACATCACCTGCAGATTTGATAGATGGTAGTGTTTCAGTGTCAGCCTTCAGAGCTCAGAGTTTCAGTTTACACTTGTTGACCGACGACTGAAAGGTAATGACTCGATCCTGTCCTGCAGAACAATCAATTTGCAGCCAGCAGTGGATCTAGAATTTGGCATTCAGAATTGCAAAGCTTGGTTGTTCCATCCAAACAACAGCTGCGACGGAAGCATTTGTCTTGACGGAGAGCTGTGTGGTTCTGCGTAATCGATAATTTCAAAGGTAGTCAGTTAACTAATTCATGTGGTGGTGATTCATTACGTGATGAAGGAAGTTAGTCACACTACAATATTCTTTCTTTGAAGAAGTTACATTACGATATTTGCGGTGCTGATTCGTTTCATGTATGTGCAGGTTCTGACGAACTCCAGAACCCTGAGGAAGAAGCTACGGTGAAGATTCGAAACAGGGCATTCTTTTCTGCCTCCTCTGTTTTCGTCCCCTGTCACTGCTCCCCACCTGAATATATTACTCAAAAGCCGCCAGGGCAGCCAGCACAGAATTACAAAGGCTACTTGTTGCTCTACATGACCTGGTCCTTGCCGCTGCTCTGTTATCCCTCTGTTACCTGTGCCTACCTAGTCAAAACCCATGCCCAAACTTGGCATCCTCTACGTTTTTTCAACGAAGTAGCATCCTGTATATGTATAATAAGCATACCTTTGATTTTCAATACAAATCACACGTGTTGGATCTCTTGCTCTCTCAGAAATGCCTTTTTACGCTCCTTTTTCATCCTCCCAATTGTTGGGGTCAGCATGGAACACGAGAGATGATGATGGCTATGGAAAATTATGCATGTTTCTGTACTATTGGGCAGTGCACCAATGACCAATTCTTCGTTACTGTAAAACTTACTTGACAGGCTGGAGTTTTGTGATTGCATATTTGCATCTCAGTGAACGTCCTCGCGTCGCCTCCAGGGGGCTGCTCGGGCAAACCCTAGCCACCGCCGCCCCCGACCCTCTGCATCGACGCTGTCGAAGGTAACTTGACGAATCTGAAGTCCTGAACCTGACGGGAGAAACTTCAAGTTACTAGTACTATGATTCGAGGCTGGAAAGCAGTAGAGCGTGCAACCCGTCAGTCTTTCCCCAGCCTCCGCGACCGCATCCCCTGCATCTGCTCTTGCTAGATTTGACGCTCATTACCCATCGTCGTCGTCATTTTTGTCAGGTGCTTGCCGCCGCCCGCCTGAAAGCTCCAAGTTCCTCCTCCCCTCTCCTCGTTGATGTACATGCTGGAACTGAAGATGAGACTCTCTTGATTGACTCCATTGCCAAAGAAGCTTGTGAGAGAGAAAATCTGAGTGGGTCTCAAGCACTACTTGTTGTTGATAACAACAAGTTGAATGTGGATGAGATTCAGGTAGAACAAATGATACTTGATTTTATTGCTAATAGTATATATGATATCTTTACTTCTCACTTGGGGGAGCATGAAAAAAATTCCCAGGTGGAAGAGCTGATGGGTGAAGATTTTAGCAAGGATGGGGTGCAATCTGAGTACATGGTACAGTTTCCTGTCTCTTCTGATGAAGTGGAGGAAGTGATCCCTACTCCTCCACTAAGATCTGAGGATGCACTGAGATTCAGTACAAGGAATATGCAGAATATGGGTGACAAGATCCAGGATAAGGCTGTTGCAATTTCAAAGAAGAGGAATTTGGAAGGTAACTGCAATTTTAACTCCTTTGATGTTCTTTCTGATAATGACCTTATGATTAGAGCATCAAAAATGGGTGTGATTATACCAAACAATATTTTTTCTTCTATTGATATCCTGAGAGAGTTTGAGAGAGTAAGGAATAGTGACAATAATAATAGTCACAAGCCTGACACTACAGTGGAGGAGAACATGATGTTTATAACTAATGGGAAAGGGGATAAAACACCCATCAGCTCTGATTGGGCTGATGGGGAGGAAGATTTGGAGGAAAACTTTATCCTTGTAAGGTCTAGGAAGAAGAGAAATCCTAAAATCCAAGTGGCAATATCTAGGCCTTTGACCAGGAGTCAAAAACCTGACTTAGCGATGAGAAAAAAGGAAAAAGCTGGCAGCCCTGTCTATCATACCAGGGCCACCAGGGGGGAGAAGAAAAAGAAACCTTGTTGATATGATAGGTCTTTCTTGGAATTGTAGGGGGGCAGGAAAAAAGGGATGAGTTCCTGCCTTTCCCATATAATTAGAGACCATTCCCTTGACTTTATTTGCTTGCAAGAGACCCATAAGAAGAAGTTTCAGGACAATTTTTTTAGGAAAATTGACCCTTACATTGCTTTTGAGTGGGATTGGGTTCCCTCAGTGGGGAAATCTAGAGG